GCATAGGTACTACGGGGAATCGATACCATTCGGGAACATGGAAGAAGCTCTGAGAAACGAGACCATTCGTGGCTATTTCAACTCCGCTCAAGCTTTGGCTGATTATGCACAAGTGCTGTTATATATAAAGAATAGTTACTCAGCCCAAGATTCTCCCATCATTGTTGTTGGAGGATCATACGGAGGAAGTACATACGAGATTATCTATTTTTTTTTTTTTTTTTCTATAGCAAGAGTTAATTTGGTGGTTTTGGCAGCAATTAAGTTTGAGTTTTGTAATTTTTTCTTGAAGTGCTTGCTTCATGGTTTCGGTTGAAGTATCCACACATTGCTTGGGGTGCGTTAGCTTCATCAGCTCCGGTTCTCTACTTTGACAATATTACACCACAAAATGGATACCATTCCATAGTGACAAAAGACTTTAGGGTAAGCACTCAAACTTTACGTCCTATATATCCTATCATATAATATGTTGATTTTTGCAAGCTTGAATTTTCTGAAAAGTTGGTTGCAGGAAATCAGTGAGAGTTGTTATCAAACTATAAAACAATCGTGGTCAATTATTGACACAATTGCTTCCCAGTCAAACGGCCTCTCCATTCTCAGTCGCAAGTTCAATCTTTGTCAGTAAGTATTAATTCTTGATCATATATATAGATTTTGAATCCGGTGCACACCCCTAGTCAGTCGAGCCCGTGAGCACATTTCCTGATTGTTGATTTTAATTTTTTGACGATTCAGATTGATTACCACTTGGATCACATGTTATACTGATTTTAGATGAAGCATGGGTCTTTTTGTCCTTAACCACTATATTTATTACTTTCCATTTCATTTATTTCCATGTTTATAAAGATTTGTAGCGTTATTTCAGCTCTCCTTAATCAATATTTCTCTCTCTTTCTCTTAGTAATTTTCTTTGGAATTTTACGGCGGTGTGTGCGTGGGTGCGGAATGGTGTGTGCGTTTTACTGTAACATGGCTCGTACATCATGGCGTGCTGGTTTTTTTCATAAAATTATGCGTTTTGGTATGTGCGTTTCGTGATACAGGCATGTACATTTTGGTTTGTGTTTTACTAGTTTCGGGCGTGTGCGAAACGTAGATATAGTATTGGGCTTGTTTTTTTTTTTTTTTTTTTTTTTTTTTTTTTTAAATTGTGGGGAATTTTACGATGGTGTGTGCAGGTGTGGAATGGCGTGTGCGGTTTTCTGTAACAGGAGGTGTACACCATGGCAAACTATAAAGCGCACACATCATTCCGCACCAACGCATGCACCGCCGTAAAATTTTTCCATAATTTAAAATTTTAGATGTACAAAATATAATTAATTATTACCATTGATAGGGTCCCTAATAATTTAAAATATCAATTTCCATTCATAATCTCCATAATATAATGCTTAAGATTCCAATTGAATTATATCCATAATTAAACATATATCTACAATTACTATTTAATCCTTTTGATTTAAATATATCTTTAATTACTTTCACAATCTCTTATAATCTCAACCATTTATGAAAAATGAATCAATGGATATCATGAGATCTCATGAGCTCATCTAGTATAGGAGTTGCACCAGATTCGAAGCCATATATATATATATATATATATATATATATATATATATATATAAAAGTATGGGATTCAATGAGATTCCTTAAGAGAGACATAAGAGTTCATCTCAGTCTTACATCTAGAAAAATCAGGCTTATCAGATCAAATTTGTTTAAAAAAAAAATACAATGACATTTTCGTAATTATCACCAACTTTTATTTTGTAAATTTGAACACTAAAATCTGTCATTGTCAGACTTTTCCAAGTTTTCACATGTAGTATTAACATTTTGCATATTTAGTATTAAAATTTGAACTTGCAGAAATGCGAAAGTGCATTGCACTTAGGGTTTTGATTTTAGAGTTTATGACTGAGTTTTTACTTTTGTTTACCATATTTACATATTTAATTATTAAAGATTGCATATTTAAGTGTTCAAGTTTACACAGTAAGGTTATGATAATTACAAAAATGTCACCTTTTTTTTTTTTTTTTTTTTTTTTTTAAATGTGATCAGATCCATCAAATTTTTATAGATATAAGGTTGAGATTGGTTCTTATTTATCTCCTATGGTGTGTTTGTGTGTGTGTGTGTGCGCGCGCGCGCAGGCCTTAACCCATTCTTCAAAGCTTTTAGGCAAAAATTTGTGTCAGATCGTGACCGATCGGGTCAAAAATTTGTATGAGATCGTGACCGGTCGGGTCAAGATGAAAATGTAATATTTATAAATAAGTATTACATTTTTCCTCACAAGTAATGTTTCTTTATAAGTATAAATATTTTATTTTTGATTAGTATTACATTTTTCAACATAAATATTACATTTTAATCTTGACGTGACCCATCTCACAATTATGATCCCTGAGACGATAAACTCACATGATAGTCACTCAAACTTTTATCGTGTGTGTTGATATCTAGGGACTTAACCTCGTCCTGGGAGTTAAAGGGTTACTTGAGTTCAATATACACTGAAGCTGCTCAATATGATGCACCGCCAAAATATCCAGTGGCAGAGGTGTGCAGTGGCATAGACGGCGCGCCTATAGGGGCTGATATTCTTGATCGAATATACGCCGGTGTCGTCAGTCGTAAAGGGAATCAAAGTTGCTATGTTCTTTACACCGACATTGATATTTCGGGATGGAGATGGCAAGTAAGTATACATTTTCTCATTTTTAGTGAAGGTTAATATGTGATGGAATTAATTGACCAGACCTAAACCAAAGCCTTCTAAATAAAACAAATAATAAGAATAAAATAATGAAGACAATAAAGAAATAAGACAACTATTTTGCTTGAAGATCTCTTGGATAAATGTTTGTGTAATATAAAGATGTGTAAGAGACAATATGTTTTCGTCTTTCCTAATTAACCGTACCAGGCCTAATTATAATAATAGGATACCCCTTGGGACTAGGTCAAGGTTCAACCTACTCCCTTTCGGGCTTGGAGATGACCTGGGAGCGAGGTTGGCCAGGGCTAGACCCCGGGTCCTTCGTGTCTTTCCCGAGCAGCTATTCTCCCCTGGCCTTGTTCTCCGGCCCTCCATGCCATGCTCAGGGAGCTATCGTTCCCGGGTCTTGCTCTCTGATATATCGTGCCTCACCCGGACCTTGTTCTCTAGTCTTTCGCATCCCACCTAGGCCTGCATACTTAGACTTTTCTTCTTGGGTCAATATATAATGATACAACTTGGTTGAGAAATGAGAGATTTTGGTGTGCAGACTTGTAGTGAATTGGTGATACCGATTGGGTGCGGCAACGGAGACACCATGTTCTATCCAGCTCCTTTCGACCTACAACGATACTCTCAAGGTTGCATTAATCTCTTCCATGTTCCACCTCGACCACATTGGATCACAACTTATTACGGCGGACATGTATGTTCTTCAAATATTTTTTTCCAAAACGATTTTTCCAACTGTCCTAAACTTTTGATGAAAATGTAATATTTTTTCCACATTAGATCCTTATAAATAATGTTGCATTTATAAATGAAAATGTAATACTTTTGATTAAAAATGTAATACTTTTACATCAAAATATAAAAGTATTACATTTTTCTTCAAAAGTATTACATTTTTCCATACAAGTAACAATATTTTATTCTTGATTTAGTATTATATTTGCTAGTATAAGTATTACATTTCATCTTGACCCGGACTATCTCACAGACAAGAATATGTGAGACGGTCTCACACAAATTTTTGCCCTGATTTATATATCGTTTTATGAGTATTGTATGACAAATTAAAATTGCAGGATATTAAACTAGCTTTGAGCAAGTTTGGTAGCAACATCATTTTCTCCAATGGACTAAGAGATCCATATAGTAGTGGAGGGTAACTTATAATGGCATTCTTTTAAGTTTCCTATTTTTTTAAAATCAATATTCATATGTTATGTTATTCTTTTTTATTTCTTGTATATTGACAGGGTTTTGAAAAGCATATCAGATACTATACTCGCCGTCTATACCCGTAATGGTATGTTAGTTTGTGTGTGTGTGTGTGTGTGTGGCGGGGGGGGGGTGGCAAGTTCTGAAAAATAAAAATAAATAAAAATAAAGAAAGAAATTAGGCATTAATTTGAGATGATCAATAGTTCAAGATTTCTCTTAGAAAATAGTGACAATTTTATAATTATTGAAGACTTTGAAGGTGCACGGAAAAAATTTTCATAGTGCATCTAATAATATGTAACAGTGCATCAAGATATTTAAATTGCACTCGAGTCAGATGCACTTTAAGATATCAACATATGCACAGTGAATCTTTGCCTAAGTACACTTAATTATGAAATTTGCCAAAATCACGAATTTTTCATAGAACTTTTTTCCTTAACTTTGAGGCGTAATCACCCCATATCAACGGCTAACATTAGTCCATATTTTTACACAAAGTATTATTCTTATATGATCCTAATTAATATATATATATATATATATATATATATATATATATATATGTCACCAATACTTTTATATAAGGTACAATCATGAATACTTTCATATTTGTATCAAGTATTATTGATAATGATTTTCCAGTCATATCCAAACCAATTATGTATGATATACAATTATACATAATTGTAACTAGTATAAAAAGAACGGGGTAAATTGCTACCATAAACAAATTTATATAATGAGGCCGGGTAAAGTATGTATATGACAAGTTGATAAAAGTACAATTTTGTTTGCTGTGCTGTAGGGTCTCACTGTTTGGACTTACAAGGGGAGAGAGAAACGGATCCAGACTGGTTAACTGAGCAACGGAAAACAGAAGTTGAGATAATACAACGTTGGATAACCAATTACTATGCTGATCTTCAAGCACTCAAGAAATAGAAGGCAACAATATTTTATTGAATTATATATATATATATATATATATATATATATATATATACCAATTACAGTTGTGAGCAGATAATATATAAAATAAAAGTGTAATTTTTCACCGGACAAACTCAGTTATGGATGTTTTTAACAGAGGCAGCTGATCAAGGTGATAATGAGGCTACACAATGAAAGGGCAACATGGGTTTTTCCTATCTTTCTAATAGTTCGTTGTAACCGTTTTTCCCTCCTCTTCTATCTGCTATGTTAGCTTCTGTATATAAGATGGCTTCCATCTTCTCTGTAACACATTTTTACCATCAATGAAGTTCTCTCTTCCATTTCTTACTTAGCTCTGCATCACTTCTCATCATGGTATCAGAGCGGAGATTCGGCTCGTATGCCGCCGCAGTCTCCGGCAACGGTGATGCTTCTCAGTCGCCAAACATCACCACTCCGATCACTCAATCGCAAGTACCGGTCGTTCCAGGATCGACTCCACTGGAGAATCAGTCGCAGAGGTTCCACGCCGATGATCAGGACAGTCCGTTCATCCTAAGCGCCAACGATAGTCCTTCCACCGTTCTCGTCAATCCGCCATTACTAGGAAGCTCCAACTACAGCAGTTGGTGTATTTCTATGAGAATAGCCCTAGAAGTGAAGAATAAATGGGGACTTATTGACGGAAGTGTCGCAACTCCATCCAGAGATCATCCGCAATTCTCCATTTGGCGTCGATGCAATTTGCTGGTCTGCGCATGGTTATTCAAGTCCGTCCATTCTCAGATCGCTCAAAGTGTAATGCATTTTGACAAAGCAAGAGATATCTGGGAGGATCTGAGACGGAGGTTCTCTCAGCGTGATGCTCAGCGCATCTCTATTCTACAGAGTGAAATTTATAGCATGAAGCAAGGTTCTCTAACAGTTTGCGAATATTACACCAAAAGCCGTACTCTGTGGGAGGAATTAAACAATCTGAGGCCAATTCCTACCTGCAAATGCGCTCCACGTTGTGCCTGTGACCTCTTCATTGACGAAATCCGAAAGGAGAAGGAAGTCGATCAGGTAATCCGTTTTTTACAAGGATTAAACGATGAATACAATACTTTGAAATCGAACGTGCTTGTTCTCGATCCTTTGCCTGAAGTTTATAAGATATATGTTATGGCTGAGAAGCTAGAAAGGCAAATCACTCTAACTAATCTGAGTATGGGAAACATAGACATCATCCACTCAAATGCAGTCCAGGATAATCAAGGATCTGCTATTGGAGATCATGTGGCAGCAGTTCCAAATTTCTATAATGGAAAAAGGTCTAATGCATCTAAGCCTAAATGCACGTTTTGTGGCATGATGGGACATACGGTGGAGAAGTGTTATAAAAAACACGGCTATCCCCCAGGATGGATTCCGGGATATAAATCCAAAGGAAAATCCAATTCCAGTGTTAGTTCGAACACTAGTGCAGCTGTAGCAGATCTAGGCGTTACGCCTGATCAATTGCAAAAACTAATGGCCTTCATTCAGACTCAAACACCAGCAGGACAATCCAATTCTAGTTTTAGTTCGAATACCAGTGCAGCAGTTGCTTTGGTGCCAAAATTTGATGATATCAAGTTCACTGATGAAGGCAAGTATCTTAATCTTAACTCTGTTAATTCTGTTACTTTGTGCTCAGATTCATGGATTGTTGATTCGGGGGCTACGAACCATATTGTGTGTTCCCTTGATTACTTTACTGCCTACAATAAAGTTGATGGCATTGCAGTACATCTACCTACTGGACAAACTATCAATGTTGAGCACACAGGAGATATTGAAATTGACAGTGGCCTATGGCTAAGAGAAGCACTACATATCCCCTCGTTCAAGTTTAATATTATATCTGTGAGTAAACTACTTAAAGACACTACACATACTCTAACTTTTGTGGATGGACAGTGTCTCATTCAGGGGATTGGTCTGATGGCTGGTTTAGCTAAAGGAAATGGGGGATTATACCTGTTGAAGAAGCCTCCAAAGAAGCCTGAAAAGAAAGCTCCAATGCAGTGTAACAGCGTAGATGTTTGGCATCAAAGACTAGGCCATTTTCCTATTAGTAAATTGCATTTGTTTACTGAAATTGATGTTTCAAGAAATAAAAATCTGGCATGTGATGTGTGTCATTTGGCTAAGCAAAAACGTTCTCCTTTTCCTTTGAGTACAACTACTTCAACTGCCTGTTTTGAGCTTGTCCATATGGACATTTGGGGGCCATTTCCGTTTTGTTCCTTAGGGGGGGAACGATACTTTTTAACCATTGTGGATGACTACTCTAGATTCACCTGGTTACATTTAATGACAACAAAATCTGAAGCTAGGCACTTCATACGCAAGTTTCATGCTTATGTCCTTACTCAATTTGGTATTTTGATTAAGGTGATTCGCAGTGATAATGGGCAGGAGTTTCTTATGGATGAGTTCTTCACTGCAAATGGGATCATTCATCAAAAGTCTTGCGTTAACACACCACAACAGAATGCTATAGTAGAGCGGAAACACCAACATATACTCAATGTTGCCCGATCTCTTCGCTTTCAAGCTAGTCTCCCCTTACAGTTTTGGGGGCATTGTGTTCTGCATGCAACTTTCTTAATCAATAGACTGCCGTCTCCAGTTATTGATTGGGAAAGTCCATATCAAAGGTTATACAAGAAGCCTCCAGATATTCAAAACCTTAAAGTCTTCGGTTGTCTTTGTTACGCTGCTACCTTGGCTCACAATCGACACAAAATGGCTCCAAGGGGGAGAAAATGTATTTTCATTGGTATTCCTGCAGGGATTAAAGGATATTTGCTGTATGATGTGGGGGATAGCTCTATTTTCGTTTCCAGAGATGTAACGTTCTATGAGAACCAATTTCCTATGCACACAATTGACAAGCAAGGTGGTGAAAATCAGTGGCTTGAGCAGCCTTCTCTTCCTCACATTCCCATTGATAGTCCTTTGGACTTTCACTTGCATGACAGAGGTATTTCCAGTCCTGATCAGCCAGTGGTGTTTGAAGAATCATCAACATCAGATGTTCATACCCATGCTCCCAGTGGTGATCATCTAGTTCATGGCCAACCAAGTGATGACCTGCAACCTGCTTTAAGCTCATCTTCTGATTTTGAGGCACCTGTTTCCCAGTCTCATAACTCTGAGAATGCCGAGACAACTCTTAGTCGCAGTTCTGATGACCAGAATGATGATATGGTGATTGATGAATCTCTTTTACAGCTTAGAAGATCAGAAAGGCTTCGCCGTGCTCCCACAAAATTGTACGATTACTACTGTGATCCAGTAACACAGGCAGGATCCTCCCCACACCTGCTATCCAGTGTGATATCTGATGAAAAGCTTACCAAGTCTCACAAACGCTTCTCTATGGCTATCATATCTGTTGATGAGCCAAAATCTTATAGTCAGGCCATACAACATGACTGTTGGAAAAAAGCAATGGCAACCGAGATCAAAGCACTACAGGAGAATAATACATGGGAGTTAGTTGATTTACCCCCCGGCAGGACTCCCATTGGATGCAAATGGGTGTACAAGACCAAGCTTAGAGCAGATGGTTCTATAGAACGTTACAAGGCCAGGCTAGTCGCGAAGGGATTCACTCAACAACTGGGAATTGACTACATAGAGACATTCTCACCAGTTGCTAGACTTACAACAATTCGGATTTTTTTGGCTATTGCTGCATCGCGTGGCTGGCATATACATCAACTTGACATAAATAATGCCTTTCTTCATGGCAGTTTGGATGAAGAAGTATACATGAAACTGCCACCCGGTTTCCAGGGAACTAAGCCAGGACAAGTTTGCAGGCTAATACGTTCTCTTTATGGCCTTAAACAGGCTAGCCGTCAATGGAACTCCAGATTGACTACTGCCTTGGCTAGCAAAGGTTTTACACAATCCAAATCCGATCCTTCTCTATTCATGAAAGGGCATGGTGAGCAATTCGTTGCAATCCTAATATATGTTGATGACATCCTAGTTACAAGCCCCCAGATGGTTCCAATTCATGAGCTTAAAGTATTCCTTGATGATACATTCAAAATCAAGGATCTTGGCTGCCTAGGCTATTTTTTGGGCATTGAGGCTCACGTTACCAGTAGAGGTCTAAACATCTGCCAGAGGAAATATGCTTTAGACATCCTCTCTGAGTCCGGTTTCTTGGCTTGCAAGCCCGTAAGCACCCCCATGGTTGCAGGCCAACAGCTACAAAAAGATGGAGGCAGTATGCTAGCAGATCCTGCCTCTTATAGGCGTCTCGTTGGTCGACTCCTATATCTCACGGCCACGAGACCGGATATCACGTACGCTGTGCAACAGCTCAGCCAATTCGTGGATTCACCAAAACACGAACACTTAGTAGCTGCCCATCGCGTGCTACGTTACATAAAAAGGGCTCCTAGACAAGGCATCTTCTATCCCAGAAATAATGAACTGCTGCTCCACGTTTTCTCCGATTCCGACTGGGCAGCATGTCCAGAAACTCGCAAGTCTATCACGGGGTTCTGTATATTCCTTGGCTCGGCTCTCGTATCCTGGAAAACAAAGAAACAGCCTACCGTTTCCAGATCGTCCTCCGAAGCGGAATACAGAGCTCTTGCAGCTACTATCTGTGAAACACAGTGGATTAAGACCTTGGTTGGTGATTTGCAGGTTGAACTGTCCAGACCAGCTGCTGTGTTTTGTGATAGTAAATCCGCCATCGCCATTGCGGAAAATCACGTTTTTCATGAGCGAACGAAGCATATCGAAATCGATTGCCACATTGTTCGTGAAAAAATTAATCAAGGACTCGTAAAGCTTTTATCTGTCTCATCTTCGGGGCAAATTGCGGATGGATTTACCAAGCCTCTCCCGGCTTCTCTCTTTCACTTATTCTTATCTAAGCTGGGTGTTCAAAACCTCCACACTCCAGCTTACGGGGGGGTAACAGAGGCAGCTGATCAAGGTGATAATGAGGCTACACAATGAAAGGGCAACATGGGTTTTTCCTATCTTTCTAATAGTTCGTTGTAACCGTTTTTCCCTCCTCTTCTATCTGCTATGTTAGCTTCTGTATATAAGATGGCTTCCATCTTCTCTGTAACACATTTTTACCATCAATGAAGTTCTCTCTTCCATTTCTTACTTAGCTCTGCATCACTTCTCATCAGTTTTATTGGTTGATGTTGTCATAATGTCATGTAATGTTAAATTTGTTTGAAAAATTAGTAAAAATTGACATTTTAAGTGGATATTTTAAAATATTAATTTGAGTGGATATACTTTCAATATGGATCATGTAAAGTTTTTATTCATATTCTGGTAGTTGAGAAGATAAACTTGATATATTATATGCTTAAACGAGTATAGAAATAAGAAAGCGATCATCAAATGTACTCATTAAATTGAGAAAATTAGCTAGAGTTTGGGAAGGTTTTTAAGTAGCTTTGACGTTCTACTAAGATGCTTCATTAAAGATTATTGACTTAATTATTGTCTTCATACATCCCAATGAAAATTGGATCGTATGTCTAACAATAAGTTCATAAAATTCCACAAGTATTAATTTTGTATTTGTTCATATAAATTCATATGTTCAAATTATTCAACATTTGGTTGTGCAACATATTTATGAAAATGTTGTAACAATATTAAGGAATTTATTAGAATAAAAAGCATTTAACTCGTGGTGCACTGTCATTTAATAAATTCAGTGATTAATAGAGTCTTTTATTCTCTTCAAAATTGACCCTGGGTTATTAAGTAAGACTCAAGACAATTTTTGTGAGACATAAAAGTAAGACTCATAATGTTCAGTTCATTTAAAGTGGACCTTGAAGTTATCTAAGAAGTTATGGTGTATGTTTAAGATTCCAAATTTATGGGCTTAGATCTTTGATTTATTGTCTAAGTTATTGGAATGCATCTGTGACTTGACTATCTATTGGCTATTTTGATCAGTGGGAGTGACAGACATGTCAACTCCATGCTCTTAGCTGTTAGAGGTAGTGCTTATGTTAACTTATAAAGAAGTCATAGAATATAGTTAGCATTATGATAACCTTATGAATTGTAGACACATAATCTGAATGTTATTTTTGGACCAAAATTCACATGTAATGTGAACTCTTGTCTATGGTATAAAAATGGTAGATATTAACAATCCATTCACAAAACTAGGACTAATGAAACAGGGTCAAATTACAACTGATAAGAGACAAACTAGAGCTCAATCGTTATCAAGAAACACAAGAAAGGATAAAAGATGTTTCGAAAATTGAAAAGGATGCAGATACAAGTATCAAGTAAGAACGATGCTGTGTTTAAAATACACCGAGAATCTGGCAAGAGCTAGGTAGAAGGAATGAACTCCATAAACCTCGTGACTTGGTGGAACTATGGCATTGTACCATGACGAAACATTCTAGAGGCTTACAAGAACTACATGAGCTACAATTTTGGAGAAAAGTATGAAGGTTTAGTTCGAGAAAGACCACTCCGAGAGGTCAGAGATTCAATCAAGAATGAACTAGACTTCGACAACATGCTCAAGAAGCAAAAGGAACGAGATGATAAATAAAGGATGGAAGCACGACAGGTGAAACTAAATCTTTTGAACATGTAATGATCCATTTAATTTCAGTACTCTTCATTTTGTAATTTGCTCTTTATAAATGAAAGTCTGTTTTTGCACATATCTTAAAGTTCTCCATGCCTTCAAATTCAGTAAGCTTTATAGAACTTGATGTAAACTCACCTATAGGGCTGTTTTGTAATAAACTTTCCTTTAAAGGATATTCTTCAACCTTGTAGTAAGAGTGTAGGTTTTGACATCATCAAAAAGGGAGAAATTGTTAGAACAAGTGTAATTAGTTTTTGATGATACAAAACTGTCTAGGATTGTAGACCCCTATTTTTCTTTCATAGATAGGTCTCTTGTGACAAACGAAAGTTACTGTAACTCAACGTTTGATTCACACCATGAGGTGTATGAATCTCACTCGAGACTAGCATAATAGGTCTACATGAAGACTTGAAGACGACAAGATGATCGAAAGATGCTTCCAGGCGAAAGATGGATTGAGCAAGTCTCGGATAGACTTCTTTTGACAAAAAAAGATCTCTCATCAAAGAGAAAGGACGAAAGATAAAGTCAAATCTTTCGACCAACATCTCTGAGTGAACAAGCAAAGACAGACTTGTAAAAGACAACATTCATTTAAGTGAAGCAATGAGAATGTTGCCTATGACTTAGATGGGCAAATCATTCGGACAAAAAGTGTCCTTGGAATGATCTTCACAAAAGACAAGAAGCATTAAAAGACTTGTACCATCTTGTTAGAGAGCAAGGACAAAAGTCATAATACTTTTGGCTCCAACGGATACACAGTACAAGTGCATTAAATTCTTGATGCCCACTGGTTAATACACACTGGATATTATGTTTGAAATCTTCATCTCCCTCCAACGGATGGATTTTTCCACTTATAAATACTTCTCTTCACCATTAAAGAAGGTGCTGGTTAATTCACTCTTGCTATCCAAAAGAAAAGCTCTTCAAATAGTCTCATTCTTCAAAAGCTTTATATAACCAGTGATCTTGTGAAGTTTTTTCAAAGGCTCATCTATTTCCATACTTCACAACTTGAAGCAGTCTTTCATATTTCCAAGTGAAGATTTATCTAGACTTCAAGACAAGGCTTCAACCAGTTGGAGAAACACCAGATTATCTTTCCAACATCTCAACTTAGGAAGAAGTTGATAGAGGCGGAGTAAACTCGAGGAGTTGAAAAACCTATCAAGTGGTTGTCCGACTTAGTGATCAAGGAAGCCAGCTTGAAGTAGTTTGTACTAGGAGTGATAGTGCAAACCCTTTCACGAGTTGTGAAAGAAGAGTGGAGTAGGATTAGATAACAGCCGAACCACTATAAAAATCTCTCTCTCCATATCTCTTTACTTTCTGCTTTATTACTTTCGTGCATTGCATATCATATCGACCAAACGCTAAATCTTAATTAACGCAAGTGTGCAAAGTGTATTTAAGACGAAACGATATTTTCGTTGTGCATAGCTCCGAAAGGAGTTGCTTTGAAAAATCGATTAGTCTATTCACACCCCCCCCCCTTTAGACTCTCTTTCGATCCAACCGGGACCAACAATGTTATCTTGAATACTTCGGCCCTCCACAAACCCTGCTTGTTCCCTAGAAATCAATTTAGGCAGTATCGGGCTCAATCGAGATGCACCAACACGTACGTGTGAAAACTTTACTGATGAAGGTACACAGGCATATTGGCCTGTAGTCTGCAAACGAGTCCGGATTGGTCGAACGTCATTATATAAATTATATAAACGAGTCCGGATTGAAAGAACAAAAAACACCATTTTCCCTAAGTTATATAAATTAAAACTTTTGTTAAGTTTTTAACAGTTTCATCCAGTGAAAAGAGTCATCAAAGTAAAATTGAAGGGTGAAAAGTGGCTATGGAAATAATTATCAAGAACCTAAAATGTCATTATAATTTCATTATACTTAGTAAAACTTGTGTTATGTTTTAAAAGTACAGTTTCATTCATCCAGTCATAAATTGCAGGAGCTACCAAAGTAACAATTGAAGGGTGAGAAATATGTATGGAAATTTCAAAAACTGAGTTAGTTATTATAAAACAATTCAAGATCAAAGTCTTCATTTTCCCTATCAACAATAAACTTTATTTAAAAACCAAGGACCTTGTAGTCCACTGATACCAAGTTGCTCCTTTATGTGGGAGATGGTGGGTTCAAGCCTTGGTGGAGGTGATTACGGTGACATTTGATGTAATATGTGAGAATCTCATTCCCCTATAATGAATTTAAAAATAAACTTTATTTAAAATGGAAAAAGAAAAAGAAAATATCTAATGGTCCACCACAATACTTAGCTTGCTAGAGGAAAACTCTGAAAAAATGATGTGTTTGTTTTGGACAGGGATGGTGTTAATGGGCACAAAGCTCATTGTACTTAGCTTGTTTATATTGCTGATCACTCAGCGCAATCAATTTAGTCGTCGTAGAATTTTCTAACCAATAATTTTAGCTGTCATATTCCCTTCCTATATATTCTCCGCACACCTCTTCAATTTTTTGAAAATCAAACTTCGATTGGAACAAAACATTCATGATGACCCTTAACCATTGAGTTAAGCCTCGAAAAACTTCTAACTAATAATTTTCTTTGAGAGTATACTGACATGATTCATTAATCCAACACAAAATCATTAGGATGCTCGACCCAAATATCATGTTAACTCAAACTTCGTGAAGATATGGGTGATGGAGCAATGCTTATACTATGGATCGGGATAATTTACATGGAAAGATTGACAGTACAACTAATACATGTTTATTTTTAGTGTATTATAAGTTCATTTTGACTCGTAACAAAAAATAAATTTGTTGTTAAGATCAAACGTTTACCACTACCTCAAAAGTTATAGTTAATACCGAAGTCACAACTTTAATTTATTTCCTTATATTTGCGTAGCAGTCAGCACGGGGTTTAGATAGCATGATACTGGATTTGACCCTTCAAATCTCCGCATAACAATTGTATCAAGGTCCACCTTACAAGGTGGATCCCAAAATGCAAAATATAATAATTTGTCAAGAATGCTACTAATGCACATCACTCCACTCAACCCAATCCACAAATTGCAACCGAACATAGATATTAGGCAAATTATACCATGGACTAGGGTTCATATTGCATTGTGGATCCTGGTCCAAAATGATATTCAGATTATGTGTCTGCAATTAACATATTATGTACTTACAGTTAATAGATTATGCACCTATAAATAAATTAAAGGTATATAATATGTTAACTGCATATTATATAATTTATGAATTGCAGACACATAATCTGAATGTTATTTTTGGACCAAAATTCACATGGAATGTGAACTCTTGTCTATGGTATAAAAATGGTAGATATTGACAATCCATTAACAAAACTAGGACTAATGAAACAGGGTCAAATTACCCCTCCCAGGGAAATTGATAAGAGACAAACTAGGGCCTAAAAAGAAAAAGGAAGCAAGAGCCAAAGGAATGTGGATTAATGAATTAGGTGGAGTGGGCTCCCAAGGCTCCCCTCACAGGATTAGGAACTTGGTGAGGAAGTTTAGTCCAAGTGTGGTCTGCTTACTTGAGCCATTCAAAAACAGTGAGCAAATGGCTTTGGTGGGTAGATCTTTGGGGATGGGAAGGCACAAAAGCTGTGGGAATAACAAGATTTGGGTCTATTGGAATGATGAGATAAGAGTGTTAGGGGTGGAGATGAAAGAACAAATGGTAACAATAAAAGCTAAAATTCCACTGGTAGAAGAATAAGTGAACATCCCTACAGTATATGTAAGCTGCAATAGGAGGGAAAGGAGAGATATGATCTCTGGGAAGAGATGGAGGATTATGGGGAAAGATTGTCTGGGGAAAGCTTATGGACAGTGATTGGAGACTTTAACTATATTCTCAAAACAGATGAAAAGAAAGGAGGGGTTATCATTATACCATGAACCATTGTCTATCTTACATGATTGACCATGCATTGACATAAGATTTGTTATTAGTATATTGAGTATTTACTTTTTAGTACACTAGATGTCTATTTTCTGAAAATTCATTTTCTGTGTATTGAATATTCTGATCTATTTTTGGTATATTATCAAAAAATAAAATTTTAGTACATTAATTCAATATTAAAAATGAATATTTATTCATGATCTATACTACATTGTCGAGTCATTAACACGATTAGGAGGAGTCTTTATGATGGGATACAAAAATAGGACACTTTTTAAAAGCAAACAAAGATAGGAAAAACTATTTTGTGAAATGCATGTTTGCTTAACATAAAATGCAACCTCAGAATGCATGTTAGCTTTTTTGGAAAAAAAATAGTTTAAATAGAAAAGAATGTAGTATTATATGTGTATGTCTATAATATTGTAAAAGTAGATATATATGTATAAGTATACACGTATACTTGTTCTTTTTTTTTTTTTTTGAAAAATATATTAGTTAGTTTTTTTTTTTTTTTTTGAAAGTAGTAGTTAGTTAATTATTACATAATCATTTATACTGCAATAATAATGCATAGTAATTAGTGTATAATAATAATGAAAATAAATTATTTAATTATTAGGAATCATAAAAGTAATAACTGCATAATGACTACAATTTGTTGTACTTAGATAAATAAGATTAGTAATTATCCTTTAGTTGTGATATAATAAGATAAAATAATTTATGCATATTTTACTTATAAGAAAAAATATATAGTCAAATTATTTATAAAATAATATTTATTATTACGTAAATGTTTAAAAAATAAATAGAATAAGAATATGCTTGTAAATAAAATAGAGTGATATAAGTTGTGTTCATATTTATGATTCATTTAACAAGTTCAATTCACCATACATGTTGTCGTGAATGTCATATTCAACCGACCATGGATAAATATTCTCAACATTACATTTACCAATCAACATCATTAGTACGACATTATCTTCTGTATTGAATAGTACAACATCATCTGTTTCCTCAATTTGGAAAGATGTTTCTATTTCGTCCCACAGCAGTGGGAATAGGCTTGCATTGAAGTAGATCTCTATTTCTCGATTTCCAACAATTAGCTTTAAAGTGTCGGAGAAGACTTGGGAGTTGTTGAGAAATGTACCCAACAAATCATGCTAGAGAAATGTAACGAGAAGTTAGTAAATGAAAAAATTCCTGTTGACGGAAGTTGAATGTATACGTTAATGCATGTATATTGTTTCTTACCGCTGAAGGTTTAGAGAAATCAATATACCAAGAACGTTCTCGTCTTTGTAGTGCATTAAATGACAAGGATGGTGGGATAGCGGACATCGCCTTGACAGTTATTTGGTCTAAAATATTAAAAAGAATAGTTAATATTTGTAGTTAAGTGTATAATTTATAATTGCCTTGAAGGTCTAATTGCGATTTAGTTTCTCATAAGATCAGCGCTGATCCTGAGTACAAAGTAAAACACATTCAAGTAGATGTGCAGCAGGCGTACGGGATCGATGTTACATACAGAAAGGCATGGTACGGGCGTCAAAAATGCGTTGAAAGGTTGTACGGAAAATTCGAACATTCCTACCAAGAGCTGCCAAATTTCTTGCATACGTTGCAGATGTCCAACCCAGGTACGGGGTATTTGTTGCATAACTTTTACAAAATAAATTTGTTTTTGTATCTCGTACGAAAAAAAAAACATTATCGTACTAAATTATGATTCCCCAGGTATGATTGTTGATATCGAATTAACGCAGTCCACACGAGGTACTGAGTACGGTCACTTCTTGTATGCATTTTGGTCCTTTAAGCCCACTATCGATGGTTTCCGATTTTGCATGCCTATTATTTGCATTGATGGTACACACCTTTACGAAAAATGCAAGGGACATCTCCTACTCGCGGTAGGAATGACGGGTAACATGGAAATATTTCCATTGGCGTACTCAATTGTTGATTCTGAAAACGGCGCCAGCTGGAGTTGGTTTCTCAAACGACTAGCAACACATGTGTTTCCTGATTTGAATTCAGTGTGTATCATTTCGGATAGGCATGGTGGGATTGATGTAGCGTTTAATAAGTTGAATGAATTAAAAGGACCTCGGGTTAAACGTCGTTATTGTTTGAGACACATTCGCAGCAATTAATGCGTGGTCCAACTTTATATTTGTAAGGTGAGCAACTCCGTAAAATCCCGCAACACGTAGGTAATGAAGCATTTGGGGATGGCGAACATCTCGACTTTTAGTCTGCATGTCGTACCGACCGACGTTGAGTCGGGGATTATAATCTCGATTTGTCCAAATGGATCTAGAACGATGATTTTGTTGCAATAGTAACATCATTGGATCAATCGGTCCCGGATGCAATGACATTTCCATAACTATAAACAAATATTTATTAACAAATTATTACTCACCAATTGTTAATAATATATTTACTTTTTAGATTACATAGTAAGTTTCAAGCAATTCATGCAATTCATTATTTACACAAATTATTTATATAACATGCACCCGGTGAGACCATGTTAGGTGAATATATGTTTAAAAAAAAAAACACAGATAATGCCAAACTTTTTTTTTTTAAACAATAATTTTTTTTACTAGTTATGTAGAATGTTTCTAGTGGGATAAAAATCAGATAGTATGAAAAAATTCAAAATCCTACGGCTTTCAGAAGGCATACTTGGATTAGGCCCATCTACTTCATCTTCAAGAAGTTTCATGTCTGAATTGCTACTGAGCTTAACAAGATGATGGTTTTCTGCAAATATTGTTTCCAATAATAAAACTACTTAAGTAAATTTAGTATATTTGACCACTATTTAACAAAATTGTAATATCTAAACCAAATTTAGTATATATAAATATTTTTAGTATTTAAAAAAAAAATTGCTTATGCAGTACTGTGCTTCGTTGATTGCTCATTTACAGTATCATTGTATGAAGAACATGGATTGGCACTAAACAAAAAAGTTGCTGTTATTAGTTCACCAGGATACTGGTACACCCAGTGCCTTATGTTAATGTCCTCTATTTTACTCTTTTTGTGTCTTATTCAACTTCATCTATAATAAATAATGATCGCTGAACAACTTTTTCATAGATCATCTTAAATATATTATGGAATGCAACCAAGAATAAAATAGAAGATAAAATTAGAAAATTGAGAATTCAAAAGAACATAAAGTCAATTGCACAAAAGTGAAGTTTAGAGCTTACCTATAGGTTTCTGTCAATTTGAAGTAAAATGTCGCCTTTTTCACCGTCGATCACCACAAACCACCGCACGCCGTCGACCACCACAAAGCACCGAACGCCGTCGACCACCGCACACCGCCGCTGTCCGCCCACACACCGCCGCCGTCCGCCCCACACACCGCCGCCGTCCGCCGCACAAATAGACGCAGATGAGATTGAGGCGTTAGAAGTCTTCTGTATCTTCTATGCGACAGAGAACGTAAAAAAGGGGAAGGGGGAATAATGAAATAAGTAGGGTTTTATTAATACATAATTTTATATTTATTTTTTTGTATTTATTAATGTGAATACATTTACCGTATTATCCCCGTACTATCTACGTATAATGTATCCTACTTTATATGAAAATACATTTTATTTAAAGCTATTAATGCATTCCTGAGATGCATGTTTAAAAAAGTAAACATGCATTCCTCAACTTCACTTTTCCTATGTTTGTATCCCAAAAAAAAAGGTCTTACTTTTGTATCCCATTCAAAATGCCTTCCCAACCGGCGAATTCACCCCTACATTGTCTTCTGGTCACCATTTACTGGATCACAATTTACACATTTTAATATAGTATAATTTGCCCCTTCTGAAGTTGGGTACTATAAAAGGAAGTTTATCATGGATTATATGCCTTAATGTAAATAATTAATTAATGAAAACATTTCAAATTAAATCATTTTAATTTTAATTCTATTTTTCTTTATTTCTTTATTGGAATAATGTAAAATTGTTTAATTTAAAGCATTTTCCATCTAAAGCATAAAAAAAACACCAAAAAAGACTAAACATTCAAAAACTAAATTCAATGTAACATCAATTTTAGATGAAAAGAACTAATATATAAAAGAAAATAATAAAAACATGACATTTCAACTAACTCCTACCAAATTTCTTTGTCTAGTATGTAGAAAATAATAGAGATTGCAATGGCGCCATTATTATTAAGAGAAAGGTGCAGTGGAGGACCATTATATTCCAATGCTTGGTTATAATCATTTTTCTTCTATACGGCGTTGAAAAGGTCCTCTACATACAGTAAAAATCAAATGACTATAAGTAATTAAAAAGGGTTTTTACTACACTTTATTTGGGAGAAGAAAAATAAAGTAAAAAAGGGACAACACGTTTACAAAAAAAAACAAAAACAAAAAAAAAAAGGTGATATTCCATTTTGTAATTAATGTAATACTTATGAGATGTTTCAACGGAATTAATTAATATTAACGGACAATGCTAAACTCACAATTTCCCTTATTGGTTTGTAAAATAGATTAATTATGCTATGTAGTAAATTGTAGTATAAAATTTAGTTTATTGTCATTTTAAATACCTTAGATTTGAACTCTTACATGATGTTTGGTTACAATGAGGGAATTACGGAGAAAAAATTGTAATTCCATGAGAATGAACACTGAGGAAATAAGGTTGGAATTCAAATTTTATTATTTGGTTTGTGGAATATAATCACTAAGAATTTCTATTCCAGTATTAGGTTTAAAAGTGATTTGAAAGGGAATAAATACTATAAACACCACTCTCGAGGGTTTTTGCTTTCCTACTAGGGTTTCCTAGGTTTTCAACAATTGTGGTGCTTCATCCGGACGATGGCCGGCGATATGCGAGTACAGAATGGGGATATAGCCGGCGACTTGCAGCAACAGACGGACGAAACCATGGCTTCTCCCTTTGCGGTGGCAGCGGCGGAGGTCGCGGCGTTAACTGACCGGTGAGCAGACTGGGCGCTGCAGGAGGAGGAGGCAGCTGCTTTCACACCTGTGGGGGACGTGGTCGACGACGACAGTATGGCTGGGGAGGAGACGTGGAAGGTGGTTAGACATTTCCTCACGCAAAAGATGATAATGCTTGACTTCATGTGACAGGTTCTTGAATCTGTGTGGCAACCGATCAGAGGGATTCAGGTAACGGAGATTCAGAGAGGCTTATTCTTATTTGTTTTCTTCCATAAAACGGATATGGAATATGTCTTGAATGGTGGTCCTTGGGCGTTTGAGAATAACGCACTAATATGTCGAGAGGTTGTGGAAGGAATGAACCCGGGGGATGTGCAGCTGGATACGATTGATATGTGGATACAGTTACATGATATGCCAACATGGTATACATCTCAGGCTATTCTTGAACAGGCGGGTAATTTTCTCGGCACTTTTGTTAAGCACGATGATCGGTTTGAGGGGGCTCCATGGCTAACCTTTCATCGTATTCGAGTATCAATTCCGGTGGATAGGGCCGCTCCGTAGACGAATGAAGTTGATGAAGAGGGATAAGACTACAGCTTGGGTTACTTTCCGGTATGAACGGTTGCACAAGTTTTGCTATTTTTGCGGTTGTATGGGGCACTTGCACACTTTCTGTATTCGAGCTAGGGAAGCTTAAATCTCGCTGGAACGGTACCCGTATGGTCCGGATATGCGGGCTGGTGGATCCCAGAGCGCTCTTAGAGCGGTTGGGGATAGCTGGCTCGTGCCGGTCGGCGGGAAACCGTGTCCGATGGAGGGCAGGGTTGTTGCGACCAGTACGGCAATAAAGAGCTCGGCGGGAGGGGGTGAGATGCGGCCTAACTTGACGGAAGAGGAGTTGCTGGTGGCTTCGGCTAAACGGCGATGACAGCTTCCGAGCGACGGGGATGATGTGATGCAGAGTGGTGGTGATGTTGCTATGATTGATGGTTCAAAAAACTTGCCCCCTCCCGCCCGTCATCATGAGTACGTTGAGCTAGAACTCTCATAGCTTGGGCAATCCATGCACAGTTCGAGAAGTTGTGGACCTGGTGTCCCGTAAGAAGCCTGAGTTTGTGTTTTTGATGGAGACCAAGGTGGGACGGATACATGCTGAGCGGATCCGTGTCAGGCTTGGGTATGATGGCCTATTTTATGTTAATAATGATGGTTTAAGCGGTGGTATGGCTCTCTTCTGGAAAAAGAATAACACGGTCAGGTTGTTAAGTTACTCTCAAAATCATATTGATGTAGAGGTTAATTTTTCCAATAAGATATGGCGTATGACATGCTTTTACGGCTTTCCAGAATGGAATAGAAGGGAAGATTCCAAGGACTTACTGGGTACTTTGAGAGATAGGTCCTTGCTACCATGGGTGGTGATCGGGGATTTTAATAATCTCCTTTATCAGCATGAGAAGAAACCCCTATCCTAATAGCCTGCTTCATGGATTTAGTGAGGTTGTTAATGGTTGTGGACTGATGCAAATGCCGATGAGAGGCCATCAATTTACACGGGATAAGGGAAAAGGGACACAGAATTGGATAGAGGAGAGACTTGATAAGGTCTTGGCAACGGATGGTTGGGGTGATATGCACGATAATGCATGGGTGGAAAATTTATAGACTCGAACTTCGGATCACTCGGCTCTTTTCCTTAGCATTAATGCAATCTGCACGCAAATGGGGGGGGGGGGGGGGGGAATTCAGGTTTGAGATGGCTTAATTGGTTGCTGGATGAAGGATGTAAGGATGTGGTTGTAAAAGCCTGGCAGGAGGGGAGAATGGAGGGGTTGCTGCACTGTCAGCAATTTTGTGGCGAGAAATTGATGCGATGGGGAGGGGATCAGATCCATAAATTTGGAGACCGTATTAGACAGCTACGACAGAGAGAGGAGATTATTTGAAACAGCGGGATCCGGTTGCTTTGGCCGAATTCCAACAGATTAATAATCAACTGAATCGGCTGGAGGCCTAGGAGGATGTATTTTGGAGATCAGACAAAGAGCAAAGCAGCACTGGCTCCGTGGCGCAGACGCCAACACAAAGTTCTACCACAGGTATGCCTTTGCTTGTAAGAAAAAGAACTTTTTTACTAGTATTAAAAATGATGTTGGTGTCTGGGTTGAGGGAATTAGTATGCACTCAACTATTTTGGATTACTTTGGGAGTATTTTTGCTTCTAATAACTCAAGTTGCGATGATCCCCTCCTTGATAATTTTGCCCCCCGTGTGTCTAATGAGCAAAACTTGATGTTGGATCACCCCTTCGATACGGACGAAGCAAAAATAGCTCTTTTCTCTATGTTTCCTGATAAAGCAGCTGGCCCCGATGGGATGAATCCGGGTTTCTATCAGCATTTTGGGACTGTTGTTGGGGATTATGTATCTCGGTTTATAACGCACTCCTTGAATTCTTGTGTGTTCCCGGAGGGTTTGAATGATACTAACATTATATTAATTCCCAAAAAGGAGGTGCATGAAACAGTAGCAGATTTGAGGCCTATTGCCTTAAGTAACGTCATTTATAGAATTATGGCCAAGATGATAGCTAATATGATGAACACGCTTATGGGAGATCTCATCTCGGAATCCTAGAGTGCTTTTATCCCAGGGAGACTGATTATAGATAACATCTTGGTAGCAGCTGAGGTGGGACACTACTTAAACAAGAAACAGTGTGGTGTAGTGGGGTGGAGTGCGCTAAAGTTAGACATGTCAAAAGCTTATGATAGAATGGAATGGACGTTTCTGGAGAGAATGTTAATTGTCACGGGTTTTAGTGAAAAGTGGATCCAACTTATTATGCTATGTGTGACAACTGTTGATTATACTGTAATGGTGAATGGTGTGGTAGGGGGGGCGCGTGAAACTAACCCGTGGCCTCAGACAGTGGGATCCTCTTTCCCCTTATTTATTTATTATTTGTGCAGAAGCCCTTTCAATGTTGTTGCAAAAGGAACAGATAGCAGGATCAATACATGTGTGTAGAGTCGCTAAGGGGGGCACCTCCCGTCTCACATCTATTTTTTGCAGATGACAGCCTCCTATTTTCAAAGAGAATATCCAGGAGGCTGGTTTTATCAAGCAATGCCTAGTAATGTATGAAAAGTTATCTGGTCAGGTGGTGATTTATAATAAGTCCAATATCTGTTTTAGCCGAAACACTCAGGAGGGTGACAGGATGCAAGTACCGAGCTGTCTTGAGGTCGAACAGGCGGCTAATTTTGGGAAATATCTTGGTTTACCATCTTTTGTGGGTCGGAAATAAAAGAGTTGTTTTTTCTTATGTTGAGGAAAAAATCAGGCAAAGAATTGGATCGTGGAGTAAAAAGTTGCTATCTCAGGCTGGTAAGGAAGTGCTGTTAAAAAGTGTAGCTCAATCTATGCCTACCTTTTCTATGAGCATTTTTTTGCTACCTGAGACCATTTCTCAGTCTATTGAGCGAACCATGAATAAATTCTGGTGAGGAAGTGGCAGGGAAAGGAGAATACATTGGAAGGCTTGGAATAGATTGTGTGCCCCTAAGAAATTTGGTGGTTTGTGTTTTAAAGAGCTAAGAGCTTTTAACCTTGCCATGTTAGGAAAGCAGGCATGGCATTTTCTTACTAACCCAGGTTCACTTGCAGCAAAAATTTATAAGGCTCGATATTACCCCACAACTAGTTTTGTTTATGCTACTGTTGGAAATTGCCCAAGTTTCTGTTTGAGGAGTATTATGGCGGCACACGCAATACTAACCTCTGGGGTGCGACAAAGAATTGGAAACGAACAAACGACTCTGATATGGGGACACCCTTGGCTGCCGGATAACCCTAGCCCCTTAGTCCAAATGGATATGCCAAAAGAGTTTAGAGAAGCACGGGTAGCAGGTTTAATTGATCCACAAACAAATACTTGGGATCCCCATATTCTATCTGATCTATTTATTCCTGAGGATGTGAACCGGATCACTATGATCCCTGTTAGCCCTGCTTACGACGACTCATGGTATTGGATGGGAGACCCAAAAGGGACATACACAGTAAAAAATGCTTATAGGTGTACTGTTGGAGATTTTGAAAACAACCAAGGGGCTTTTGATAAATGGGTTACATTGTGGAAATTCAAGGTTCCACCAAAATGGAAGACGTTTTTGTGGAGAGCCATATGTGATATTCTGGCCACTATCACTAATCTGATTATAAAGAGGGTGGAAGTAGACCCAACATGCCCAATGTGTGCTTTAGATCATGAAGATGTGTTGCATGCTTTAGTGTTCTGTGAATATTCTACACTTGTTTGGAATGTAACACAATTACCTATCACAAATATTGCTACAGATTCCTTTTCAACATGGCTTATGAGAGCTTTGGCGGTCTTAACGGAGGAGCAAAGCAAACTGTTGGTGGTTGTGCTATACCACATTTGGAGAAGTCGCAACTCAGCTATGTGGAAGGGATCTTTAATGTGGTCAGCCGACGTCTGGAGAGGGGCTGCAACATCCATGCAGGCTTACAGCGTTGCGCATCACCGCCAAGCACAGCCGGCTCCGACACCATCTGCTGGAACGGAGATGCACGGCAATCTAAGGTGCTATGTGGACGCGGGTTTTCGGCAGGACACCGGAGACGCCACATACGGCATTGTGTTAATTTCACCAGAGGGCTCTTTCATAGCGACAAAAAATGGCAAAATACCATTTTGTTTCTCACCACTTATGACGGAGGCACAAGCTTATAAGGAGGCGTTATCTTGGCTACTAGAAAGGAACATCACAACAGTATATCTGCTCACGAATTGCATGGTATTACGAGTTGCTTTGCAGCAGCATAACACACCAATCTACTCTTATGCTGGGGTCATGGTTGATCAATGCAGAACAGTTATGTCTTCTTTTTTTTTTTTTTTTGAAAGGAGCCTGTACGACATTTATTCAAAATATGCAGAAATAGAGGCGGGCGGATCAGAGTCCGAGTACATACTAGTCAACTGATTAAAAACAGTAGATGCTAATGTATGAGCTAAATAATTTTCTAGTTTAGGAACATAATGAAGCAAACAATAATCAAAAGATGTTAAACTAGCTCTGCAACTATCAATGGCATAGCCCAAGTAAGACCGTGACGAGCGTGCCGTAGATGAGAGGTATTGTTGAAGCACCAAACAATTTGTGAAGAGCTCGATAGACTTTATCTCGCGATTCCTTAACCACGACAAAACCTTCTTGCATGCGAAAGCCTCCGCCATTAGGGGCGAAAAACAGTCTATCAAAGGAGCAGTCATAGCCGAAACATAACCTCCTTGCCAATCTAGAATAATAGCCCCCACTGTTGCTTTGCTCGTTCGTGGGTCGTAAGCCGCATCGAAGTAGCATTGGTCCCTCATGTTTTGCATAGCATGGTGTATCATATTTGGTGCGGGCGGCTGTGGCGTTGGCGGCATGGCAGCAGCACCATCCCTCGGTGAGTTCACTGTCGTGGCAGTTTGAGCGGTCGCCACTGCCGTAACACGGCGGATCAATGCCGTGGAGGGGGCCGGCGGATGTAGATGGCCGGGGTGGACTACCTTCCAAGCATTCATAGCTGATGATGCCATTGCAATTACTTTCCGAGGTCTGGACAAATTCGCTTCCCATACAGCTCCATTCCGTGTGCGCCAAATGTAATATAAAAGTGCCACTGCATAAATAATCCCATCATCATCTAAAATATTCATCAAATCATTAAACCAATCACTGAAAATATTTGTGACACTATTGGGGATTGGAAGGTTGGATTGTGCCCAAATGTTTGCCGTATAATCACATGTGATTAAAGAATGCACAAGATTCTCATGCCCAATTCCACACATGGCACAAGTTGGATCAATATCAACTCTCCTTATAAGTAGGTTCTCTGTAGTGGGTAAAATATCACTTAGAGCTCTCCACAAAAATGTTTTCCACTTTGGGGGGATTTTAAGTTTCCACAAATTTTTCCATTTATCAAAGGTCCCTCCCGGCTGGGTGTAGTTACCTACCACTGCTCTATACCCATCTTTAACAGAATATTCACCTTTTGAATCCCCATACTAGTACCACATATCTTCATAATCTGGTACTGGTATGTCTTTATTTAGTCATATTTCGTTAAATTATGTCCCTAGACAGGTTAATTGTTATGTTCATACTTTAGTTTCCTTAGTTTTTACTCAGGATCATTCTATGTATTGGGATTATATCCTTCCTGACTCTATTGCAGCTTTGATTCATTAATACAAAAAAAAATACTATAAACACCAAAATACTCATACATGATAATAAAATAATAATAATAATAATAATAATAATAATAATAATTATTATTATTATTATTATTATTATTATTATTATAGTAAAATAAATTATAATTTGAAATGAAGTACATGCATTTCATGGATTATAATAAATTATAAATAATAATAATAATAGAGTAATGCTAGATACCCCTCCTATTTTTCTCTTCCAATTTATCTCTCATGATGTGTCATTACTCATTAGTTTTTTTTTTTTGAATACCATTACTCATTAGTTAATTAGTTACTAATTTGTTTTTTTTTTTTAAATATTAGTGATGGGTATGATTAGTCAATTCATGACATACAATGAGTGAAAGCCACATCAGAAGAAAAATCTAAGATTTAAAATTCAGGAGGATAAGAAGCATTTTCCATAATAATAATAACAATATACTATTATTATAATAAATTATAAATTGCTTAATAGATAATAATAACAATAATAATAATAATAATAATAATAATAATAATAATAATATTATTATTATTATTATTATTATTATTATTATTATTATTATTATAAGTAATATATAGATTAAAATAAATTAGAATTAAAGATTAAGAAGGGCACTATGGACTTCAAGTGTCTAACTTTTCTTTACGCCTTCCATGGAATTACAATGCTTAAGGAGGACCCTAGCGGTATTGCATAAAATAGGGAAGCAACGACCAGCTAGGGTCATGTTAGGCGTGAATTAGTCATATTTTATAGAGATTAAATTAAATATCTTAATATAAATATAAAAAGTACTTCTTACCCCTCTTTAATTTTCCTTCTTAGATTTCTCTCCTGAAGTGATTTTTACTTATTGGATGCCATGAATTGATTTTAAAAAATTAGTAACTAATTAACTAATGACACATCATAGGGAATGGATTAGAGGAAAAAAAATAAACACCATCCACATAATCAAATTTTAAATTACTTCATTATTTTCTCCGTATTCCTGCAATATTCTCTCATTTTAAAAAAGGTCCCACATTCACATCACAATTATAAATTCATATATTTTTCAATAAATAAATACATATAATACCAATAAAATACTTTAAAAGCAGCTTTTGCTGCCAAATGGCAACAAGGAAAAATAGTGGGTTGCAAGCTTTCAACCCACAGTGACAATTAAAAAAAAAAAATTGTTACCACCACACCTAGCAAATGATAAACTTGTTGAGTTGAGATTAGCCTTACTCTATAAATATTTAACATTAGGTGGAACCTGAGATCATAATATAAACCCATGCCCAGGCATCTGTCTTCAATTATATTCCTTAATTTGAATTCAATGGAGTTCATAACACTTGTAATTCAATGCCTCTCTCTTCTAATTCTCTTCTCAACAACTTCCCTTTCTGAAACGCCACACACAATTCCTCGTCTCACTCCTTTCTACCGGTCCAACCTACGACGCACAGAATCTTCTTCTTTCAACAATATTCTTCCTCCGGAATTCAGAACCTATTATTACAACCAAACGTTGGATCACTTCAATTATAGACCTCAAAGCTATGCCACCTTCAAACAGAGATACATAGTTAACTCCAAGTACTGGGGTGGCGCCCAATCCAACTCCCCTATCTTCGCTTGGCTCGGCGCTGAATCTCCCATCGACTATGATCCTCTAGACATCGGATTTCTCACTGATAATGCCCCTCGTTTTAAGCCTCTTCTTGTTTACATAGAGGTAATAATACTATACGATGATAACTGAAGAATTGAATGTGTTCAGTTTCAATTAAAAGTTTGATCGAGCTCACAATTAAACTTTAAATCCATATTTTATTTGGAAATCATGCATGCAGCATAGGTACTATGGGGAATCAATTCCATTCGGGACCATGGAAGAAGTTTTGAGAAACGAGAACATTCGTGGCTATTTTAACTCGGCTCAAGCTTTAGCTGATTATGCAGAGGTGTTGTTGTATATAAAGAAGAAATACTCGACTCAAGATTCTCCCATCATCGTTGTAGGGGGATCATATGGAGGAAGTACGTACAAGATTATCTTAGCTTTAATTTTTCCATCTTTAATTTCTAAATTTCAAATATTTTGATGATCGAGATTTTGGAAGGAATTAAAGGTTGAAATTTGTATTATATTGTGAAGTGCTTGCTTCGTGGTTCCGGTTGAAGTATCCGCACGTTGCTCTGGGTGCCTTAGCTTCATCAGCTCCCATTCTCTACTTTGACAATATCACACCACAAAATGGATACTATTCCATAGTGACCAAAGACTTTAGGGTAAGCAGTTAAACTTTTTTTTTTTTGAAAACAGCAGTCAAACTTATTTTCCCATCATTTGATGATTTTTGCAAGCTTGAATTCTTTGAATGTTAATTGGTTGCAGGAAGTTAGTGAGAGTTGTTATCAAACTATAAGAAAATCATGGTCCATTATTGACAAAATTGCTTCCAAGCCAAACGGCCTCTCCATTCTCAGTCGCAAGTTCAAGCTTTGCCAGTAAGTATATTTATTATCCTCAAATATATGCATAAATATAAATAAGGGTGTGTTTGGTTTACAGGTTAAGGAAGGGGAACAAAATCATAGTTAGTGTTTGAACAACTATTGCATTTGATACCTCTCCACTTTAAAACTCATTCTCTAATTTTATTTTATTTTTTTTAAAAAAAAAACACAACTATGGGAGGTTGTGAGTTCGAGCCTCAGTGGAGGCGTTATTGGCTCTTTGTGCTTCAGTAGGTTGAGAAAGTAGTTATGAACAGATACTACATTGTAATGGAGTCAGTAGCATTCAAAAAAAAATATTAATATTAACGGAAAAATGCTAAACTCACAATTTCTTCCCTTATTGGTTTGTAAAATACATTAATTATATTATGTAGTAAATTGTAGTATAAAATTTAGTTTATTGTCATTTCAAGTACCTCAGATGAAAATGTAATATTTAAAAAATAAGTATTACATTTCAAAAATTTGTGTGAAATTAGGATCGGTCGGGTCAAGATGAAAATGTAATATTTATAAATCAAAGTATCACATTGTTTCCTCAAAATTATTATGCCTGTTTTTTATAAGTAACAAATACTTTATTCTTGATTACTATTACATTTTAATATAAGTATTATATTAGCATCTAGACATGAGTCATCTCATAGATTCTGATCCATGAGACCGTTTCACAGTCACTCAAACTTTTATCGTGTGCGCGTTGATATTTAGGGACTTAACCTCGTCCGGGGAGCTAAAGGGTTACTTGAATTCAATATATGCGGTAGCTGCACAATATGACGCACCGCCGGAATATCCAGTGACGGAGGTGTGCGGCGGCATAGATAGCGCGCCCAAAGGGGCTCATATTCTTGACCGGATTTTTGCTGGTGTCTTTGCCAGTGAAGGGAACCAATCTTGCTATAGTATTCCCACCGGTACTGCTATTCGGGGATGGAGTTGGCAAGTAAGTAAAATTGTGCACTTATTGTTAATAACTATAACTTTTGACTTACTGGAAAGCGTTTTATTAATAAATGAGAAATTTTGGTGTGTAGAAATGTAGTGAAATGGTGTTTCCGATCGGGCGTGGCGATGGGGACACCATGTTCTTTCCAGCTCCTTTCAATCTGCAGCAATTTTCTCAATACTGCATAAATCTCTTTGGGGTTACACCTCGACCACACTGGATCACAACCTATTATGGAGGACAGGTATGTTCTTCAAATATTTGATGTATACATATAAGCTAGCTTTAATTTACGATGTTTACTATTATATTCTATGAGAGTATTATATAACAAATTAAAATTGCAGGATATCAAATTAGTTTTGAACAAGTTTGGTAGCAACATTATTTTCTCTAACGGACTAAGAGACCCATATAGCATTGGAGGGTACTTATAACGACTTTCAATTCTTTTAAATTATTAATGCTTTTTTTTTTTTAAATTATTATTAACCTTATATCTTATGCTATTCTTTTTGGTTTTTGGTACATTGATAGGATTTTGGAGAATATATCAGATACTATACTTGCCGTCTATACCCGTAATGGTATGTTGGTCTATATACATATTTCGGAGTTTACAATACTGAATAATATTGGTGTCTTTTACACCAAGTAAAATCATGTATGATTTTTTAATTTTACTAAATATTATTAATATCCCGTGAAAAAAATACTAATGTTGATGGAGACATTAAAATTTTCCATATATAATGGAATGAATTATATATAATAAGTTGATGAAAGTATAATAATATATTTTGTTTGGGTGTTGTAGGGTCTCACTGTCTAGACATACTTGGGGAAAGTAAAATAGATCCAGATTGGTTAACCGAGCAACGAAAAAGGGAGATTGAGATAATACAAGGATGGATAACTAAGTACTATGCTGATCTTCAAGCGTTCAAGAAATAGAAGACAAATAAAGTTTTTTGGTACCGTATTCAGAATAATTTCCGTTTGCACCGAACCAACCTAATTAAGGAATAAAGTGAATTTCCGAATTTTCTTGAGGGGAAAGAGTACATGTTGTCACTCATGCCCATCAAGCTAGTCAAACGGGCAATGAAGATATAATCATAATATATTTATTGTACCCAATCTTATTAATATTAATTAATGTATTTACTAGGTCTATATATACACTTAAGTACTAATAGAAATTGAATATTGTAAAATATTTTCTGAATTTTCACGGTTAGTAAATGAATTGTGGGCAAGAATAATTCTAGTACTTATCTTGTTTTTTTTTTTTTTTTTTTTTTTTTTTTTTTTTTTTTTTGAGAACAAGTATTTATCGTCTAGCAACTACATTATCGTCTCCCTTTTCATGAAAACCGCAACATTAATAACACGATTATGACTAGTAGTTTGTGGACAAGACATGCCTCATCAGATAGAGGGAATAAACCTTGTTATATGAATTCGACAGATAAAATGGGATTGATGGAGTATTACATTTTTTTTCAAAATAACTTTTCAATATCTAAATATTTTATTTTGATTTAAAAGAATTGTATTTTTTTCTTAAAAATATTACACTTTTTCTCATATATCATAATCAATTTATCATTGATTAGCATTACATTTTCTATCTAGATGTGACATCTCTAACAAGAGAGCCACTCATTCTATAATATATGCTTTCGTTATATTTCTTGACCGCTATGGAAGAAAGAAAATTATGAGGAAACGTTTGCAAATTATTAGTGAAATTTTTTCAAATTTATTGGTGGATTGAAAACTTGTAATATTTTACCTTCAATTTGATCTCTTTTTATATTTTGACATGCGAAAGTAAATATTGATGTGCAATTTTTTTATACATGTCAGTAAACTCGATGTCATATTATATTTTTAAAAAAATCTTTTTCTTTGAGTCCAAAAGTAAAATCGATCAACATTAACTTAGAACAAGTTACTAAATTTAAAAGGTTTATGGCATCATGATAGAATGCAATATATTGCCTTTCACAATCAGGCCACATAGACTAAATAAATCCAAGTCTTCGTTGAATATAATAGTTGAGTTGAACGGACAATAGCGTGTTTACTTGCACATGAGATTGACATGCATGATTTAATTTCTTGATGGCTAAGGACGAAAGAATGATGTGCATATGTGCATGATTGAATATAATGCAATATATATCCACATCGGTTAAATAATTTCCAAGTCTTCATTGACTAATATAATGCAATATATATCCACATCGGCTAAATAAGTTCCAAGTCTTCATTGACTAATATAATGCAATATATATCCACATCGGTTAAATAAGTTCCAAGTCTTCATTGACTTAGGACAATGGGTCAGTTTGATTACATTCACCTTCCGATCCATCCTTATATTTTGGGGTCGTTATATCATAGACCGCGGTGCAAAAACGGCGCCGTTTCTTTAAGTAAAAAAATGGACCGCCGTTATAGTTAACGGAGTCCGCTTGTTTGGTGTATTAAACACTAACTGACACTACAGTATATCTAAACCGACACTGCAGTTACGTTATATCAAAATGATACTGTAGTTATAGTGAAAATGAAACTGCAGTGTATATAAAATGAAACTGAATAACATTTCACATATTTGAGTGTATATTGTACAGTATATCTAAACCGACACTGCAGTTATATCAAAATGATACTGTAGTTATAGTGAAATGAAACTGCAGTGTATATAAAATGAAACTAAATAACATTTCAATGAAGCTGTAATTATATCAAAATGATCATATAGTTGTGTTTTAATGAAACTATAGTGTATATAAAATAAAATTAAATAATATTTTCACATATTTGAGTCTATAAATATCGAATGAAACTATAGTTATATCGAAATGAAACTGTAGTTGTGTTGAACTGAAACTGCAGAGTATACAAAATGACATTGAATAACAGGGTTACTTTTTTGCGAAAGGGTGCGAAACGGCGGAAAACAAACACCGTTTCTTTTCAATTAACAAAAGGACGCGCGGTGCATGATTGATCATGCACCGTGGTACATGATATAATTTGCCTATATTTTGGGCAAATTATTGTGTGAACCATGGTCCACACAATGTTATGTGGACCATAACAAAAAGCACATTGTTAATCTACTAAATATACATTATTTTTGCACTGTATGTACATTATACAATATAATGTACACTCAGTACAAAAATAATGTATATTGTATTAAAATAATGTACATTCTCTGAATACAATGTACATTATTTTTATACTGAATGTACATTATTTTACCGTATACAGAATATGGTCCATACATAGTCCACAGAATAATAATTGCCTAAACTCACTGCAGGTTTAACTTTTTAATACCTATCGTGACCCACCACCTACTATCACCCGAAAAAAAAACTCAATTTATACAAGGTAAATTGAAGTGGATGTCTATCGAGTGGATTGAAATTATCTATTTATGACCAGTTCAACAAATTATTGCACCCTAATTTCAAGGGTTTCACCACTTTGGTGTATGAGGTTAATCTTTTTGTAATAGCTACTAAAACTAAATTATTAATTGTTTTTAAATTTATCAAGCAGCTTCATCACTAATTCGGCACAACAAAGGATAATTGCATGTTTATTTGAGATTCTGATTGGCTTAACCAATGAGACTTTCAGGGCGTACGTCTCATGAGGATCAGAGGATGAGAAACGGGCGATGAATAGATGGATGAATTATTTGGCCTACATATTATTGGAGACATGCCAATCATCAACAATTTGAATAGTTGTATGTCAATTCTTTGAAATGTGTTGATTAAAATATATTATACTAATATTTTAAATTTTGATGTGAAATAATTAAATTTAAACTAAATTTGAATTGACAATAATTATTATAAAGGATAAATGGTCAAATAAATTCTTAAATTATTTGCGAAACAATTATTATGTCATCAAAGTATAAAAACCATAAATTCAATTAAATACCTCAACTCGTAAAAATGATATGACTTCCAGTGAATTGGATGTACGACAATGTTGTGGAGCTCAAGATAGGTGGAAGAAGAAGGATGGACGAAGAAGGGAAAATTCTCATTAACTGTCAAGGATGCATACATCCATTTACTTGTACAGCAGAAGGGAAAGAAAAGAGAGGGCATGTTCTACTGATCTCCTGAAAGCCCCCCTCAAGCTGGATTGTACAAATTTAGCAAGCCAAGCTTGGAAACATAACTCTGAAAAGAAGCTGGACAGTGAGTCTTGGTGAAAGGATCAACCAACTGATTTTCAGAGGAGATATGGAACAGTTTGATGAGCCCTTTGTGTAGCTTTTCTCTCACAAGATGGCAGTCAAGCTCTATGTGTTTTGTCCTCTCATGAAATACAGGATTTTCTGCAATTGCAATAGCAGATTTACTATCACAATATATGGCCACCTCCTCATTATTCTGTATGCCAAACTCTGCCAGTAGAAACCTCAACCATTGTATCTCACATGTTGTAGTTGCTAATGCCCTATATTCTGCTTCTGATGAGGACTTGGAGACTGTGGGCTGTTTCTTAGACTTCCAAGAGATCAAGGCATTCCCAAGGAAAATGCAGAAGCCAGTCACAGATTTTCTGGTGTCAACACATGCTCCCCAGTCTGAGTCAGAAAAAGCTTTCAGGTGCAAGTCAGAGGAGGATGGGAAGAACAATCCTTGGCCAGGAATTGCCTTTAAATATCTCAGCACTCTGTATGCAGCTTGTAGATGCAGACTTGTAGGTTTATTAAGGAATTGAGAAAGTTGTTGTGTTGCAAAGCTAATGTCAGGCCTGATGACAGTTAGATAAAGTAATTTGCCAATGATCCTCCTGTAGTGGCTGTTATCCTCTAGAAGCTCACCTTCATCTTTGCTCGATTTGTGTGAAGGGACTGTAGGACTATAAACAGGTTTTGCATTTGTAAAACCTGTATCTTCAAGAAGCTCAATGGTATATTTCCTCTGGCACACTGCAATGCCTTTATTATGCCTTGCCACTTCTAGGCCAAGGAAATATTTCAAAGGACCTAGATCCTTTATTTGAAAGTTTGTGTTGAGTTGCTGTTTGACTTCTTGTATAATCTTCAAGTCTGCACTTGCAATCACAATATCATCTACATAGACTAATAAAGCCACAAAGGACTCTTCTTTACCTCTATTAAATAGGGAGTCGTCAGGGACTGCCTGCTTAAATCCCATACTCTGGAAGGCAAGTGTAAGCTTGGTGTTCCACTGTCTACTGGCCTGTTTTAAGCCATACAAGGACTTGATTAGCTTGCACACTTGGTTGTTACTGTTTCCTGAATATCCAAGAGGCATTTGCATGTAGACCTCCTCCTCTAAGTCCTCATTTAAGAAGGCATTGTTCACATCCATTTGATGAAGCTCCCAGTTCTTTGCTGCTGCCACTGCTAACAAAGTTCTAATAGTAGTCATCTTGGCAACTGGACTGAATGTGTCTAAGTAATCAATGCTAAGGGTCTGATTGTATCCCTTTGCCACAAGCCTAGCCTTGTATCTTTCAACACTGCCATCAGCTTTATATTTCACCTTATACACCCTTTTGCACCCAATGGCCTTTTTAAAAGGAGGTAAATCCACCAGCTGCCAAGTGTTGTTCTTCTGCAATGCATCAATCTCATCTTGCATAGCCTTTCTCCAACATTCATGTGTACTGCTTCATAGTAGTTTCTAGGCTCAGATTGGTGGGATATATTCATCACAAATGACTGAAAAGATGGTGTCAAGCCACTATAATCTACCACCTTGCTCATTGTATGAGGAGAAGTTTTTTAACTTGGTACTTTGACATATATAATCCTGCAAGTAGTTTGGGGCTTGCCTGTGCCTGGTGGATCTCCTGGTATCTTGTTGTTGAGGGTTATGGATATGATTAGGTGGCAGTTCAGAAGGCAACACAACATGTTCACCACAACTGCTTGTTGGACTTTGCCTCTTACTTGGTGGTTGTGCTGGATGGGACTGATTATGATCACTCTCCCTAACTGGTGCCTGTTGAGGAGTGAGATCCTGATGAGGCTAAGCTTGTTCACTTTCTCTACTAGCTTGACCTTGAATCTGAGGCACCTCATGTTCATCAAGAGATGCAGGAATCATTGTAGGAAGTATGATTTCAGATCCTACTTCTAGAGTTATAGAGTGTTGAAAGGGGAATACCAGCTCATGGAAAACAACATCCCTAGATATGAACAATTCTTTGGAGGCAAGGTCATATACCTTGTACCCTTTTGTTCCACCTGCATAACCAAGGAACATGCATTTCTTGGCTCTGGATTCCATCTTTGTCTTTGGCCCAACAGTAGTGGCATATGCTAGGCATCCAAAAACCCTCAAGTGTTGATAGGATGGGGTCATCTTAATCAGAACCTGATATGGAATTTGGTTATTGATGGCAGCAGATGGAAGTCTATTGATTATGTAAGCTGCATGTAGGACACATTCTCCCCAAAACTCATCTGGCAAATTGGCTTGAAATTTTACGGCTCTAGCAGTAGACAGCAAGTGACCTTGTTTCCTCTCCACTCTGCTGTTTTGTTGAGGTGTGTAGGTGCAAGAGGCCTGATGTTCCCCTTCTGCTTGAAGAATTCCACCATCTTAAATTCCAATCCATTGTCTGATCTGATGCACTTTATATTTGCCCCAAACTGATTCCCAATAAGATTGCAGTATCCAATGATCAGCCCTCTAACTTCTGCCTTGGACTTCATCAGATATATCCATACAGCTCTACTGTGATCATCCAAAATTGTGAGAAAGTAATGATGGCCACGAGTAGTGGGCACTTTATAAGGGCCCCATATATCCATATGTAGTAAATCAAAACAATTAGTTGACAAAGAGCTACTGGACTGAAAAGGAAGCCTTTTTTGTTTTGCAAAGTGGCAACTGTCAGATATCATATCCTTATTAAACTGAATCATTGGCTCTATTTCTCTCAAAGATTGTAACTTTGAATGTGAGGCATGCCCAAGTCTAGCATGCCATAGAATACATTTGTTTGTAACTGAAATAGAACTACATACAGAATGTGCAGGAATGGGAAAAACTAAGTAATACAGTACATTTCTCAGCTCAGCTCTTCCAATCATCTTGCCATGGGGAACATCCTGTATAATGCATTGATCAGAGTACATCTTCACAGTGTGATTAGAGTGTTTAATGAAAGAGCTCACAGAAATCAAGTTGAGGGATGTAGAGAGCATTGTGCAGGACCAAATCATCAGATAGGTAAACTGATCCTGTAAAACCAATGGCAGCATGTTGCCCATTTGGCATGCTAATATACATATTTTGTGCCCTTTTCTGATTGTTTAACAACTCTAAATCACACACAATATGGTGTGTAGCACCACTATCAATGATCCAATCTGTTCTACCATGTTTAACAGAACTTACTGAAGGAGGCATACCTTCATTATGGAAGTCCACTGCCACAGTGTTAGCAAGGGCTTGTGAGGGCTGCTTGAGGTCTAGAGGTGAGTTGAAACTTTCCCCAACTGGTTTCTTGGCTTGTATGAACTCCATGAATCTTTTCACATCATCTTGAGTGAATGCCATATTCCCATCAAAATTCTGATGCTGTGCAGCTGGTGGACCTTGGATCTGGTTCACAGATTGGTTTCTTGGCCTTGGTTTCCATTCGGGAGGATATCCATGTTGTTTATAACACTTGTCCTGAGTATGACCTGTACCCACAATATGTACACACAGGTTTCTTGTTGAACCCTGATGCTTCCATGAACCCTTGCTGATGATGGTTGGTGTCTGTTCTAGCCAGTAGGGCACTAGCAGCAGTACTACTCTCCCCTGCCTGATATAACTGACTCCCAAAGCCACTGTAGGCCATGTGAAACTGCCTCTCTTGTTGAGCAATCATAGAATAGGCCTCATTAACATTTGGAAGTGGCCTCATCAGCATGATCTGATTCCTAGCACATGTATATTTCTCATGTAAACCAATGAGAAAGATAGGCAGTCTATCCTTCTCTGCCTGTTCATTTAACTCATCAATTTTCTTTCTATATTCACACTTTTTGTTACAAACACAATTCATTTGAGGCCTAAGAATGCTCAGCTCATCCCATAACAGCTTTTGTCTAGTAAAATATTCATTCAAAGAGTTGTCCCCCTGCTTCATTTGGTAGATTTCACACTTGATTTCAACAATCCGAAACAAGTCTTGCTGGCTAAATCTCCTTTTCAAGTCATTCCAAATGCCATAAGCCGTGTCAATCCACAACACGCTACGAGCAAAGGTGGGGGAAAGTGTGCGCACAATCCAAGTAGATACAATATTGTTGCACCTTTCCCAGGCTAGATATCTGCCTAGGTTGTCTGCATTAGGCTTCATAATGCTTCCATTGATGAATGTAACATTATTTTTACATGAGAGGGCCATTGTCATTGCCCTAGCCCACGAATGGTAGTTCGGACCCTCGAGAGGGGTAGAAACCAGCTCTAAAGCCGGATTTTGATTGATGTGAAGGAAATAGGGATTGGACTGTGATTGAGGGTCAAATGTTACCTCATTTCCATTCAATCTACTCGCCGGAGTAGCAGCAGGAGGTGTTGGATTCATCGTGTTAGTGTTGATAGTTGGACTTCTTGCCGTGTTATCCATCACTGGCGTTCGATTGCTCAGGGAAGGCCAGGCTGTTGTTGTCATTGTAGGGTGGATAGAATCTCCTAATGAATGAGCTCTGATACCATGTTGCGGAGCTCAAGATAGGTGGAAGAAGAAGGATGGAAGAAGAAGGGAAAATTCTCATTAACTGTCAAGGATGCATACATCCATTTACCTGTATAGCAGAAGGGAAAGAGGGGAAAAGCAGTTACAACAACAAATTTAATCTTCTAACTGCCTCCAACTGCCAAGGGCCTAGGATGGTGACAAGTGTCATGCTAAGGCATGTTCTATTGATCTCCTGAAAGACAAAATAAAGAACCAAAGGGTTTAACGCGGTGATGTTGAGGCGAACAATAGAGAGGCACATTATCATAAAGGTAACCACTATCTTAGACAATTGTTAGAATCTTCTCCTTAACAGGATAAGAAAGTTTGCATGTATTTTAATTAAGATAACTTCTACGTCAGCCATGACAACCTTACTCTTGAACAAGGACGAGAATGCTTCGAATGAGGGATTTTTGAGGGAAAAAGAATGACTTACACAGCAAAATTTATCATTTTTAAGTTTTATAAAACTTCTATTAATTTTTAAAAATTTCATCTAGTTATGGGTGGAAAGAGCTACCAAGGTAACAATTGAATATAATGGTGTAAAGTAGCCAGGTGAAAAATTGAAGAACAAAAAACGTCATTTTCCTTAAGTTATATAAATTAAAACTTTTGTTAAGTTTTTAACAGTTTCATCTGGTGAAAAGAGTCACCAAGGCAAACTTAAAGGGTGAAAAATGACTATGGAAAGAATTCAAGAACCTAAAATGTCATTTTCATTATAGTTAATAAAACTTGTATTATGTTTTAACAGTTCAATTTCATTCATCCCGTCATGAGTTGTAAGAGCTACTAAAGCAATAATTGAAGGGTGAAAAATATGTATGAAAAATTCAAAAACTGAGTTAGTTATTATAAAACACTTCAAGATTAAAGTCGTCATTTTCCCTTTCAACAATAAACTTTATTTAAAATAAAAAATAGAATAAAATATCTAATGGCTCACCACAATAATTGCTAGTGGAAAACTCTGAAAAAGATGATATGTGCTTGTCTTGGACAGGGATGGTGTCGATGGGCACGAAAGCTCATTCTAATTGTTTATATTGCTTTGATCATTCAGCGCAATCAATTTAGTCGAGGAGAACTTCCTAACCAATAATTTTAATTTAGCCGACATTTACTCTCCGCACACTTCTTCATTTTTTTTATTAATTTTTTTTTTTTTTTTGAAAATCAAACTTGCACATTATTATCAGAATAAAACTTTCAGATCATTAACCATTGAGTTAAGTGACGCAGAGCTTCTAACCAATAATTTGGTTTGAGAGTATACTGATATGAATCCAACACAAAATCATTAGGATGCTCAACCCAAGTATCATGTTAACTCAAACTTCATGAAGATATGGGTGGTGCAGCAATGTTTATATTACGGATCAGGATTTACATGGCAAGATGGACAACTGATACATGTTTATTTTTAGTATATTACAATCATTTTTAGTGTTGATGGGGTGAGAACCCTGGCCCAAGAAAAGAGGCCCAGAAAGAATGCATGGGCCGAGTCCAGGACTCGGCCCAGGTCCAAAGAGGGAGGCCCAGTTCAGAGACCGGAAGGACGGCCCAATACCAAACGGGGACGAGGAGTCGGCCCTGGCCCGACCTAGGAGAGGACTCGGTCCAGAGAACCGTTGAGGGAGCCTTCAACACAGTTAAGACAAGGAGCCGTTGAGGCATTAAAGGCCGGGCTCGGTCCGCCAGTTACTAGCCAAAGAGAGCCGTTGGCAGAGTCTGTAACGTCGCCCTACCCTTTAAGTCGGCCATCATGAGCCTTTAAGACGGTAGAGGAGGAGCCACTATAAAAAGGGCTCATCCACCATTGTATGAGGCAGATTCAAGAACCCGGAGAGGGAATAAACAAATACTATTAAGCATCATATTTTACTAAGACTCAAACCCTTTTGTGAAAGGTGTATCCTCCAGCTTAAGGTTGTGTTGGACCTCCTTGGGCCCGAAAACCCAAAAACCATCACTGGCGCCGTCTGTGGGGATCGAAACGAAGAGCCACGTGTCCTCTTGAGTGAGGCGAGTCCGAGAAACAATAGTTGAATCAGGCCAACTCCAGACATGGCTGGAAGCGGGGAACAGTCGAGCCGTCAAGACAACGGACGGGAGGCCGACTTAAGAAACCAGCTGAATAGAAGAAATGCCCGAAGCCATGAAAACGAGACGACACCGCCGCCGACGCCGCTGAGAAACCCGCAATTACCCCAAGTACAGCTCACCCCGGAGCAGTTGCGCGCAATTGGACGTGCCTGCGCGGAAGCGAGCCTAGGAGTGAGAGAACAGTCCATCACTCGCCAGTTGCAACACGAGTTGCAACCGCCTCAGAGGCCAGACAATCGGCAGTTGAGCCGACGGGCAGAAAGCCAACCGGTGCAATCCGTTCATTCCCGGCTGGGTCCCAGTGTCGGACGTCGGTCGGCAAGGGAGCGATTAGGCCGGAGGGAGCCCAGTCGTGCCCCATTAGTCGCCCGCGACCGACAAGCTGCACGAGAAAAGAGCCGAACCAAAAGGGCCAGGACTGAGACTCGCCGCGTGGAGCAACCTCCTCGCAACCCTGCCCAACCGGCTGAGTCCGAAGTCGGCGAAAGCACGGAATCCACGGGGAATCGGACCCGGGAAAGGGTCGAAGTGGCCAACCTAGTACAAGAGGTACGAAATCTAAGAGAACGGATGGAAGGAAAAGCCAAATCCCCGGGGCGTACGTTGCTAACCGCCTTGCCCTTCTCGGACGAGGTCATGGCCTTCAAGATACCGGGCGACTTTAAGTTCCCGGAGCAAGCCACATTTGACGGATCAGGCAACCCGCGAGAACACCTTTTGAGTTATCAAGCTAAGATGCAAGTCCTAGGGGTGCGGGATCCGGTCATGTGCCGTGCCTTCTTACCTACGCTGAAGGGGCCCGCCCAAAGATGGCTTGTAAGTCAGCCCTCGGGGTCGATCCACAGCTTCGAAGAGCTGGCAGACCGCTTCATGAGCCACTATGCCGCTAACATCAAGCCACAGAAGGATCTGACGCACCTAGGCGACATCCATTAGGATGAAGGCGAATCCTTGAAAGCCTATCTTGCTCGCTGGCAGAAGGAGATCCAGTCGATAGAAGAGGTGGAGGACCAAACAGCGCTCACCTTCTTCATTGAATCTTTGCGATCCGGACAGCTGTATCGAGATCTAAGGGACAACCGCCCGGCGACATACGCGGAGGCAGTCCAGATGGCCAATAAGAGGGCCAACACAGAGCAGGCCATGAAGCATAAACGGCAGCGTGAGGTCGGTGGGTCCGCCAGTGGAAAAAGGACGCGGGTGGAAATGAGAGAAAGGCGTTCGGATGCCGCCCGGCGACCCGAGGTCAGGCGACCGTATGACCGACCCGTCGTTCGCACCTATCGGCCGGTTCCAGAGCGACCAGTCCGCGAAGTACAGGCGGTCGCCCCACCTCCGCCTCCGCCGATGGACGACCGAGCAGCGGACGAGGATACGGGTAAGACTTCTAAATATTGTCGCTATCACAAATCTTATACTCACAGCACAGAAGAGTGCTACTATCTAAAGAAGATTATGGAGGGGATCATCCAGCAAGGGACACCGCCCCCTAACCAGTGGAAGCGAAGGTCGACCGGTCGAGGAGGTGAGGGACCCGTCGCCGACTCAGAAAACAGCCGAGGCAAGCAGCCGGCTTCCGAAGAGGACGAAGCCCAATGGCGCCAGAAGCCGGTCATTAACATAATAGTCGGTGGGCCAGAAGGCGGCGATTCCGCGAACACCCGAAAAGCCTGGGCTCGGCAGCTATATGTCGGAACAGTCTATGGTCGAGAAGAGAGCTCCAAAAAGACATGTCGGGAGCCCATCGTGTTCACCGATAAAGACCTGCCAGCCGGGGAAACCCCTCATCGAGACGCGTTGGTCATCGCCATGGACATCAACGGTGTGGTTGTTCGCCGAATCCTGGTCGACACCGGGAGCAGCGTCAACGTGCTGTACCTGGAGACCTTTACCAAGATGGGGCTGACCCGAGAACAGCTCAGGCCCGTGAACACCCCTCTCGCCGGTTTCACCGGGGACTCGGTGGAGGCGGAAGGGTCCATCACTCTTCCTGTGGAAATCGGCAGCTATCCGAATGTGCAGCAGTTGAGCATGAAGTTCATCGTGGTCGATCTAGCCTGCTCACACAACGCCATACTCGGCCGCCCGGGTTTGGAAGACCTCGGGGCTCTGATCTCAATCGAACATTTGTGCCTGAAATTCCGCACGCCGAACGGAATAGGAACGGTGCGTTGTGACCGCAAGGTCGCCCGCGACTGCTATCTGCAGGCATGTAGAGGTATGGGCAAGCGTGGGATGCCGGTCCATGAGATCACCGAGAGGCCCCCTAAGAAAACAGTGATACCACGCCCGGAGCCGGCCGTCGAGCTGGAGGAAGTTGAAGTGGACCCAGCGCAGCCAAGCAGGCGAGTGAGAATCGGAGTCGGCCTTTCGGAGAAGCTAAAGGGGGAAATCACAAGAGTACTCCAAGAGCACCGGCTGGTCTTCGCCTGGGGGCCAGAAGATATGCCCGGCGTAGATCGAACGGTCATATCGCATCGACTCGCCGTAGACCCGGAGCACCGGCCGGTCGTGCAAAAGAAACGATATTTGGCAAACGATCGGAGGGAGTTTGTGAAGAAAGAAGTCAGCAAGCTGTTAGCAGCCGGACACGTCCGTGAGGTCAAGTACCCGGAATGGTTGGCTAACGTGGTCCTTGTGCCCAAGCCCCCGACGTGGCGAATGTGTGTAGACTACACAGATCTTAACAAAGCGTGCCCAAAGGATCCGTTTCCTCTGCCCCGAATCGACCAGCTAGTCGACGAGACGGCCGGGTCGGCGTTGCTCAGTTTTAT